TTTGCAAGCTTCTGAAATGCTTTATGCTGAGCAAAACTTCACCCATTCTCTTGCCCTGGTAAATAAAGCAGAGATGCCTGAAGAGCTTTGGCAGAGGTGAAATGACTGGTCAGTAGCAGTGCTAGGAACAGAGGCCAAGTCGCTTGCTCTCAGCTCAGTGAGCAATTTAGTGGGCAGTGATGTATATGCCATAGATTTTTATAAATAAAATAAACGAAGTGGTAATTCTCAATAAAGAGAACAGCAGGAAAATGCTATATTTAATGCTGTATTTAAAAAGACTGAAATTTTTCTCAGTCTTTTTATTCTTCCTAAGCTGGGCTTGTTCATTGTTGTACTGTTGAGCATTAATAGTCCCCTCATAAAAGTAAGAGAAGCAGAGAGAGGGGGAGCCCTTCCTTTCTTTTAGGGACTGAGGAAGATTGAGTTGGAAACAGGTTCTGGTTTAGTCAGATCTGCACAAAAAGCCTTCAACAGGCCGGAGTTGTTTTCTGCTTGCTTTTTTTGCTACTGTTTTGAAATGCTTTGTGTTTTGCAGTGATTGTCATGTTTTCTTTTTTTTCCCCCTCTTTAAGCAGACGGTATCTCCCAAAGAAGAAACAAAGCCAACAGGTATGTCAGTGTTTCCTAATGATTCTTTTCATTTTCTATAAGCAAAATGGTTCTTTTAGCCAGAATGAGTCACTGGCTGATGTGTGTTTAGCTAGTCAGCTTGCGGGCTTGGATCACCCAGACTATTTGATACCAGTACTGCATCCTTACCTGTGTAAGGTGTTACAATTAGTGTAACCTGTGTCAGGTGTTACAATTAAACATAGTTACAATACCTGTGTACTGTAACTATATGTAATGTCTTTACTGTAGCCTAGCTGTTCCCCAAGAATGCCTTGGTGGAGTCTGCTCAGGAGCTGTCTCTCTAAACTAAAGGCATCTCCATTTACAGCCTGACGCATCATTTGCAGTAGCCCTGCAGTAGGAGGGGAGGTGTTGACATTACTGAAGGTGCCCTGTCACCGGATATTTGGGCCATGTCTATTTGGTGACATCAGTAATCAGTTGTTGTCACAGCTGCCAGTAAAACCAATTTGTATTAATATACAGCCTGGCTTAAGAAATACTTCACCAGTGTGCTCATATCTAGTTCTTTTGGTGTGCTTTTTGAGGGGTTCTAATAGCATGTTTCAGGATAGCTTGGATTTGATTCTGTAGAGTTTCCTTGATAAGTTTCATCTTTCTGACTCTGCAGGGAGATTCCAGAGAGCTGCCTGTCCCTTCTCCCACCTTCCTCCCGTTTAATTTCCCCTCTCATTTTGGTATCTGGATACATGAGCCCCTAGCAGGACACAGGGGTTCAGCTCCCCCTGAAACTTTAGCTACTTACAGGTTCCAGTCTCTGCTGAAAACTGCACGTGCTGGTATGCACATAGATGATGTTACTGGGACCATTTATTACTATCTATATAATACATAGCTTGAATTGGTAGGCCTGTGTTTTTCTGGCAGACTGTCGTGTGATCATTGATGCCATTTTTTTTATACAGAGCTCTTGCTTCTAGTTACATTTATTAAACATACCTAGTATATAGGGTGTCCACTGCACTTTGCATAAACATGATAAATGATATCAGTTTCAGACATGCTACAGTGCAGTAGCAAATTAGGAACTTCCACGTGTTTTTCAGAACCTCCTCCACCATCTAAAATTCCGAAAATTGAAACTTCGCATCCACCGATACCTCCTGCACATCCACCTCCAGGTAAACCTTTATTTCTGAAATGCTGCTTCTCTTGCAGTTTACTGCACTGCTTTTCAGTGCAAGGCAGGGAGATTGTTGCCTTGATGAATAAGTAATTCATCAGCAATAGTACTAGGCAGATAAATTTTGGAGGATATTTCATCTTTCTAGGACACATTTTTTTTAATCAATACCAAAAAGTTATGATGAAAATGAATATCCACTATGTGGACAAAGGCCAGATAAAGCTCAGACTTGGAATGCCTGGAAAAATAAACTAACTGTGGTGAGTAGGCAAAAAGGGACTTGTGTCCTTAGAAGGCTGCCCTAGTATTAGGGCACTGGCTTCTAAATGTCCTATCCAAGTTGTGCATGTTACATCTTTATTATAGAACTGCAGGTGTGTAATTCTGCAAAAAAGGGATATGTTTAATCTTGGCTGTGCCCCAAAAGAGGGCTTTCATCTGCTGGAGAACTTTTAACACTTCATGCATGCCTTATGTTTGCAAAATAAATGTTACTGTTGAAAAAATGTGCTTCTGGCACTCTGACACATTAGCTGTCCTGCCACTGACCCTTAGATATGACATAAATATTTTATAGCGCCTGCTTCATAATGCAACTTCATGATGACAGCTTCTAGCAGGGGATATCAGGAGATAGAAGAAACAGTGCTTTGAAATACACTCAAAATGTTTTGCTGTCAGTTGCTGTTGTATGTTGTATGCTGTATGTTGTAAACTGTTGTATGTCAGCTGAGCTGTTAAAACTGTGACTGTCTATACGGGATGAACCCTAAACATGCAGGTAACTGGTTTCTCATGTTATCCAGAGAGGACAGCTTAATGCATGTCCTTCTTGGTATCGGCTAAGGACAATTCTGTGAAAGTCTGATCTGTTTTATGAACTCCCCTGGGCTGCCACACACCGAGCTACCTCACAGTAATCAGTGGAACTCCCAAGTAATCAATGCCAGTTTCTTCCTTTATTCTCAGTGTGTCATTCCCCCCCTCTTTTTGATGAACAGATTTAGAACTGAAATATTAAAGTCCTGAGACTTTGGCCCATATTCCCAAATAGTATCTCAGAATATTTGAGGCAGGTGAAGTGCAATGATTGGTCTCAGGTCACCTTCTGGAGTGCGAGAGAGAGTAAAAGGAAACCCGGGCTCTGCAAGATTGAGACACTCATCCACTGATCAGCAGGTTTGGGGTATCTTGGGTCCTGTGGCTCCTTAAAATCTGCTGGTTGTGAGTCTGTCCATCCAGTCTCTTTAATTTCTTCTGTAGTATTTTATAGTATTTAAGTTGTAAGAAAATCAGTGATAAATTGGGGGAAAAGTGCATTTAACTTTCAAACTGGGAGAAGCCGACCTTGGAGCTCTGATCTGCAGCTTAGTGACTTGCTAGGGACGTAGTAAGATCTAAGTGGATACAGGATGAGATGCAGAGACATGGAGAACTTTGGAGTCCTCTTTTGATGTGTTCCTCGGAGGAAAGCCGAAGAGGATTCGGATGTTGCAGCTGCCACCGCCCCTCGGAAAAGTAAGCAGCGCTTGTTTCTGTGTTGCAGAGCGCAAGCCTCCTCCCCTGGCTCCGTCGGTCTCCATGGGCGAAGCGGAGCCGGCGCCCGCCGTGGACGCGGTGGATGTGCCCAAGGTGCAGATCCCTCCTCCTGCTCATCCGGCCCCGGTGCATCAGCCGCCGCCGCTGCCGCACCGGCCCCCGCCCCCGCCCCCCACCAGTTACATTACAGGGATGTCGACTACCAATTCCTACATGTCCGGGGAGGGCTATCAGAGCCTGCAGTCCATGATGAAAACGGAAGGACCAACGTACGGAGCGCTGCCGCCCGCCTACGGACCACCCGCTCACCTCCCATACCACCCCCATGTGT